TTTGTAGAGCTTGCTTTGCTCTATCGAATGGCATCTCCTTCGGGTGTACATGCATCAAATTTCGAGAAATAGCAGATTTAGTCTGTAAAGTCCCAAACTTACGTGCCAACCTAATAAGTTTGGTTTTCGAGGATTAATAGAAAAAAAGAAATTGTGTTCAGCTGTGACTTTGCAGAGGCCATTTAAAACTGCTCTTCCCGCACCGTAAAAAATGAATTGTACTTGGCAGGAAATGCACTACTTTCTTGTACTGGAAAGCTCAACGAGCTTCTGTGGGTTAAAAAAGTCAGCAAGTTGGGACTTTTACTTCGAAGGAACGTAATTCGTCTGAGGTCGTCAGCACTTCTGCTTTTTCCACACAGCGCAGTGCTTTTATCACCATCACTCGAGAAAAGTGATAACAGCTTTGTGGTGTTGTGAAAAACACATTTGTACCGGCGATGTTGCCCTACACACTCATCTCACACGCAATTTTGTTAAGTTGCGTTGCTGCTTATAAGCTGGTCATATTCGTTCCATGTGTGGCCAAAAGTCAGGTAAAGTTGGAATGCACTTCACGAGTAATTCTTTTTATATGTTGCTTCAGGTGGTTTTCAATATTCGAGTAGCTGACACTCTGTCTAAAGCAGGACATGAAGTTACTATGGTAATGCTGCAAGTTCTGGACGAAGATGACACAAAGATTGTGAAGGTTCCATCTCAAATACAAAGTACTTTGGACTTTTAGCGATTGAAATTCTGAAAATTTCCCAAACAGTTCCCCCGCTTTCGGTATCAGTCAACGTGAATGCATGCCAAATATTTCAACAAACTGTGGGAGAACAAGACACTTTTGAGCTGCTGATGACTGTTAAAAACATGTTCGGCCATAGATATCAGCCAAACCTCTTTCCAAAAAAATCATTGTAGATTACTCTATCATTTTTGACTAGTAAATCAAATTGTCATCAAGTTGCCTTGAATTCTTTCCACCTCTAAACAATCAAAAAAATTCCTTAAAGGCTGACGCTTATTTTTGCATTCACTGCTCTTTTGCCAATCATCATTTTGAATAGTAGGTAAGATCTTCCAAACGCTCCCAAGTAATTATTCAAGTGTGACCACTTTCCATCCTAAGTTAGGTAGATTCGATCCAGCTAGTCATTCCTTGCAAATACATGTTTATTCCTTGATTCTTTGCAGCATAAATGCGAGTTCAGTACTCTCTTATTCGCACTCGTGAATCGTGATACTTCCACTGTTAAGTTTTGTTATGATGTTTATTCCGGCTCTTTCGAGGAGTTCAATAGTACTCAATTAGAGCACTGAAATAAGTTCTTTAATCAAATAAATCATATTTTTTTAAATAATATTCATTCTCAGGAAAGCAAGTTTGAGTGTACTGTACATCTCAAAATGATAAATACCAGACGTGGATATCCAACCACTACCAGCCAAGTTC